CTCAGCTTGTCTCGCAAGCCCCCTCGGAGGATCGACATCGCCTGCATCACCTTCGACCTCTACAAGACCAACCCGCGGGACCTGGGCTGCCTCAACGTCAAAGCCACCCTCTACGGCACCTACAGCATGTCCTACGACCTGCGCTGCTACGGCGCCAAGCGGCTGATGAAGTGAGTGCCGGGGTTGGGGGCTGGAGTGGGGGGACCAGCCCCGCTGCACAGAGACCCTCCGTGGGGTGCAAGGAAGGCTGCTCACCCTTCTCTCTTCCCCTTCCCCCTCCAGGGAAGCCCTGCGTTGGATGCTCTTCACCATGCAAGCCACCGGCCACGTCCTCCTCGGCACCTCCTGCTACATGCAGCAGCTCCTGGATGCCACGGAGGAGCCGAAGGAGGCCGAGAGCAGCCCAGCGCTGCAGAGCCTCCTGCCCCGCAGCCTCCCACCCCTGCCCCGCAGGAAGACGCTGCAGTGAGGGTTGGGTGCCCTTTGTCACCCTTCCCTAAGTCCTGGGGGGCCCCAGCCTCCTGCTAGGTCAATGCCTGGGGCAGGGGGGGCTGCCATGGTGGCTGGCACAGGCTCTCCTTGCACCCCGCTGGCTGAGCGAGGCCAGCTCTTCTCTGTAATAATCTGCTGTTCTGTAAATATATTTATTTAAGTAAAGTTCTGCTGACTTCAGCTGCATCTTGTCTTTGCTGGGGGTGGCGGGGGCTCAGCCCCTCGCCCTGCTTGGCACCCTGGGGCTGTGCTGGGTGGTGGCGCAAGAGCGGGTGAGGAGGGGACCTGTCACAAGAGCTCCCCCAGGGAGCTGCTGCCTCTGTCCTCCTCCCTGGCTGGCACAGAGCTGAGACATCCCCCCCATGCCCAGCACTGCAACAAGCCATGAGAAGGGGATGGTGCAAAGGGGCTCCCTTCACCCCGACCCCCCCTTGCCCTTGGCAGTTGGCACAAAGCCTGTTCTTGCCCTGTTTAAAGGGATGAAAGACACCCTGTGCTGCTGGTGGTCTTGCTGCTGGGGACCCTGACCCCCTTGGCACCCAGTGCAGGGCTGGCATGGAGTGTTTGGGGGGGGTGTGGGGGGTGTGTTTGGGTCCCTGACCCCCCTTTAGCAGCCCTGGGTGGGGGGAGCTGCTGCAGCCCCAGCCTTGCACAACCCCCTGGGCTGGTGCTGCCCTGGCCATGCCCCATGGGGCTGGCAACTGCCCTGCAGCTCCAGGGCTACCAGACTGGGAAACAAAACAAGAGCCTGGGTGACATGGGGTTATATCGACTGGGCAACTGGGGGGGCTGCCCCCAAGTGGGAGAGGGGGAGCCCACCCTGGATCCCTGAGGTACAAGCCCTGCCAGCCAGGGTGGGCAAGCCGGGATGGAAGGGAATGATCCATCCCCCACCTCTGCTGTACTGGGAAGCACTGGGGCGAGCTGTGGGAAGAGAAGTGGGGGTGCTTATGGGCACCCCCGGCCCTGTGATGCACTGCAGGGGATGCAGAACTTCAGCCATGCTCACCTGGGGACCCCGCTGCAGGGGTCTGGGGCTCCCGCCTGGGAACAGCCAAGCTGGCCTTGGGGCAGCACAGCCCACCTTCATTAGCCTGATTAATTAACGAGCCATCAGAGCTGGCAGCTGCCATCACCCCGTGGCACAGATGCCTGACACCTGGGGTGAGCTGGGTGCCACCGAGAGGTGCCAGGGGGACGCTGCGCTCTGCCCTCCTCTTGCAGGCTGCCCTTGCCACCCCGCGGCCATACGCCCGCCACGTCCCTGTCCCCAGGGGTGACGGGGGGGCTGCGCCAGCCGTCGCAGTGTCCCCCACCCGCACGCAGGTGGCAGCCCGGCTTTATTAGACATATTTATTTCTGTACACACTTATACACACGGTTCCCAGGGTAGCTTCGTCCCTCGCCTTCAGTGCTGCCTCCTTCCAGGGTCCGGTCCGTGGTGGGGGGCACCCACACGCTTCCTAGGGTGCCTGGGGGGCAAGCCCAGCCGTGCCATCCCCCCGTCCCCATCCCTGTAGTGTCTATCTGGGGGCAGAGCCCCCCTGCAGCCTCCCCACCCTAGCTGGGGCAAGGCCGTGGGCCTTCCTTCCCCCTGCCTCAGTTTCCCTGTGGCATCGGCCGCAGGGGCAGAAGGAGGGGCACTGCACTCACCGTGGGCCGGGGGGGGGACCGGCCCCCCCACTGCCAGCACCGCAGTGTTCCCCCCTCCCCAGGATCCTCAGCCCGGGATGTGCGGGACCCCCTCGACTCGGGGTGAAGTTTGGGGACACCTGAGGCACCTCTGGATGCTGAAGCCACCCT